TATGTTTGGGCTTACATGTTGCACACAAATGTTTTCCTAAATATGAATGTGCGTGCATATATTTTTTAGTTATTTAATGCAAACATATATATATATATATCACTTATTAAGTTAGGAAGTTTAATTTTTTTGACTTGTTGAAATTTTACTTCTTTTAAGACAACGTGCTTCTGGTAGACAATGTTTTTAGTAATTTATGGGTGTATTGGAAAACATTCATGTACCTGTCTGGAACATGAAATCAGCATCTTGGAACTGAAATGGGAGAGAAATTAGTTTGTAGTTTGATGTAATAGTTCTCCAATTCCAATTCAAGGTAGCAATTTCACACTTCCAAGTATAGCATAATTCGTTCAATAATAAGCTTAGTGGATATTGCTTACTGCAATGGAAAACTCTCCGGTTCGCCAGTGTGTAAATGTGAATAGAATTCAAATTGAAGTAGCTGCTTCGTGCAAAATAATCTTAAAAGTTAATTTGAATTTGATCTTTTCCTTCTAGTATTCTGAGTATGGTCTGTTTCAGTGCTGTTCTTAGTAAAATTGTTAGGCAATTGAGGATTTGTTGACCTAACGGAATATCCTTTTGGTTTCATTCGTAATGAGAATTCCTAATACCAGACGTGTATCAGTCAATAAGAGATTCAGAAACTAAAATAGTGAAAATATTTATATGATTTATGTATTCCATCTGGTTTTCTTGACAATTAGTTACCCTTCTAGTTTCCTATGAAAGTATGCCCCCCTTTGACAACTCTGCTTTTGTATTGTTTAGATGCCATTCATGGTGTTTTTGTATTTTGTGGATCGTTGAATTAATGACATAATAGTAGTGTCCTCTTCCAGTAATTAATTTCATAGGCTCTGCTGTAATAAGCAAGCAAAATTTTGAGAATGTTTTCTAGCAAGTACCATTTAGCAAATAGTGAGCTGAAGTTATAGGTACATATGCTAAGGTTATTTGAAACTTGGTTTGTGAGAAAACACATGTACTACTATTATTAGAGACTAGAGTTTTTGGCAAATTTATGCCAGCTTGACTGGATGATGCTGCTGCTCTTAGCGAAATCACCTATGACCTTTCTATAATTGTGTGTTTTTGTTTGTTATTATAGTATTCTTAGAATTTGAAAGAGATTGCGAATGCAAACTCAACTCACTTGTGGGGTAACTTGGGTTAGAAACTCATGTGTGATAAAGTGCTTGTATGCGTAACTTAACTTTTATGTCGATGTTGGATGCTTCATGCTTATAACTAGGATCATAAAAACCGGTATGAAGCTGCCATGCTTGTCTGTCGAGAAGCGCAAAATTCATTTTGTCAACCCAATTACCTGATTAGGTTTGAAACTGTTGTAGAATGCAATGAAATTTTGTCCATGTACAGAGGGGGTACAGCAGGGTTTTGTCTGAAGTTTAAGTGAGGTGGGTTCAGTGTTGTCAGAGGCATGCCTAGGCGCCTGAGTGTTGCGTGTGTTGTGTCCTCAGGCGTGCCTTTGACAACACTTCTTAATATGAAATATGAATTATTTAATAATTAATTACCCGGCATGCCTTTGACAACACTTCTTAACATGAAATATGAATTATTTAATCACGTCACTTCGCTCAACCAAGCGCTTTGCCTTGGGCGGCGCCCCTCGGGCCTTTGATAGGTTTTACCATGAGATGCATAGTGATCACCTAATTTCTCGAGAGTACCTCCCATGTACCTTGGCTGTTACATTCCTATGTGTTGTGGCCCTTTTACAGTCCAGGAAGTCCTGAAGAATGTGAAGCACCTAACCTTTTTGGAATCTTGAAAGTAAAAGTCACAGGTCACCGATAGCTGTAGGATATGTAGTGTGTCTGATACACCATGCACTGTGTGTTGGTCTGGGTGTTCTCATAGCAAAAAATATTTAGGGTTGTCATACGTGTAGACTTGTATAGGTATTTGAAGGGACAAACAATACAGGTTAGGTGAAAACGTGAGAGATTTGTTCGTCTTTGGAATCCCTTGTATTAGGGTGCAAGTTGGAAAGGTCCAACCCAGTCCGGTCCCAATCCGATCTTAATCTGAAGTCAGGTTGAGTTGGGCTGGCCCAATGTCAAACAAAGCTGGGCTCTGTTAGTAATCCAAATCCAAATATTTTTGGGTCAGTCGGGCTGACCTGTTCAACCCATTTTCTTCTTTCTTTTTTAAAGATATGCAAATTATATTTGTTTCTTTTCTCGGTTTGAAACATCAATTTTTTTGAGAAAATTTTAATTTATTAATATATATATCGTTTCGATCTGATCAGACAGTTAGTATTGTGACTAAAGTATTCAATTATTAATTTTTTGTGTACTACCAACTCTAATTTTATTTTTATAAAAAAATAAAACTTCCCTCATTTTATTTTAAATATAAAAATATTTTTTTCTTTTTATTCATTATTAAATAATTTTTATTTTAAAATTATTCCAAAAAAGCTCCTAAAACAATACATATGAGAGTAAACTCCAACACAAGCTGCTGCCCGAGGCCAAATCAAGAGAGTAGAGAGGAGGAAAAGTAGCGACCATTTCGTTGCTATTTGAAACGCGATCTTTCCTTACATCAACTACGGCAACCTATTATCCTTCTTTTTCAGCGATTTTCCGGTGCAATGTTTTGGTCACTGCAAATAGAAGCGGCATGCTAATTCATCTCTCCTTTTTCGATCAAACAAGTCGTGCTTCTCCAATCAACCAGGTCGCCGGAGCGCGACCTGGTGGCGACCTGGTGTGCGTCATTGACGGCACACAAAGTCGACATCAGCAATAAAGCGCGAGCACCCACACACACACACATATATCAAAGACCAGAATTAACATATATTACAACACTTCACATATATAGATATATACTATATATATCAAAGATTTCGAAGGTACTAAATTAAAAAACAAAATTGGAAGTTTTTTTAAATTTCGCGTTTTGGGTTGAGTATGAGCCTATTTGTGTCCAATTTGTGAATTTAAATGCCCAAGTTTCAAAATTTTGGGTTGGGTTCTGGTTGGACTGGATTAACCCGCCCAAGTTGCATCATTGCCTTGTATAGGTTGGAAAAAAATCCATTTTGCATTAAAAAGGGAGAAGGAAAAAAAAAATGTTAGCAAATGTTGATATTCTAATTATGTGAAAGTGATTTAAATTATAGGTTTGCTGAAATGCATAATTATTTTTATTTAAGGAATCTGCAATTTCATTTGGATTTTTAAATAAGAAATAAAAAATGAGTTCTAGAGAGCTTTATGTGGATTTCATCTTTTTGGGAGAGAGTATTTTTGTACGTTGTTCCTCCATTTTTATTTACTTGCGCTTTAATCCAATTCAGGAAAGTGATCATTTTAATGCAGCCAAATGGGATGTTCAAGAACGTAAAATAGGAAAAATTATTATATGATCCAGTGAATCACATACTGCCATGTAATTAAGTATAAGTTATATTTAATTTTTTTTTTTTTTTTTTTTTTTTTTTTTTTTTTTTTTTTTTTTGTGGCCACGGGAGATTAGTCGGGATCACGTTATTATCTTGTCATTCATAGCTTGACATATGTATATATTTATTTTTACTTAATTTACATGATCAGCCGTCTGTATAATAAATATTGATGATCGCTCAATGATTGAGATCATAATTGACATGTTGGATCTGGTTCACTAAATAAAAATATATTTTTTTAATACAAGGGATTTTAAATTAAAGAAGATCATAAATAGTTCTCATAGGTGGAGGACCAAATTCTTTTGTGGCACAAATATCCGGTTGACTTGAGCAATTATAGAGAGTGGTATTGTGGTGTTGATGTTTAATTTGATTGAAAATGGATCGATCTTGTTGGAATGCTCACTTTTTGTCTTTATTTGGTTGGTTTTTTCTTGAAGGGGCTCGAGTGTTACCATGAAACAAAATTTAATTCAACTCTACATGAGATTGGGGAATTGATGCTGAGTTAGTGTGTGCGCCTTTCTTTGAGGTTGTGTGCGCCCTACTTTGAGGTTCTCTCTTAATTTGTCGGGGTACAATTGTCATAGTGTGACTATAAAATAAAATTTATATGAGATAGTCAAAGTTTAATTTGATTAAATGTGATCAAAAGAAAAGAAAAGTATAAAAGTTTGATTAATTTGTGCGATATGCTGTTGATTAATTTTTGATAAAAAAAATTCTACTTTCTAAATACTTATACAATCATCTTTCACACAATTACAAAGAGCTCATGACAATTACGAACTCATGATAGAATTACTCAAAGTTATTAGCCTTTTACACGTGTACACACAAATTTTGTAATCCTGCAAATAGAAATAAAATATGGGCAAAATAATAATTTTATTAATTTATGATGATGAGGTACAATCCTCTGTAATATTCTTTATAAAGAAATAGAGTAAGGTCTTCTGATTCGATCTCCTGTTTGGTTGGTGGGATTCAAGGACTGCACGAGCTTGATCTTGAATCGCCGTGGAATTTGGTTGAAGAACGACACGTCTTTGGCTGTACTTGTTGTTGATCACTATGAAATTTGATGAAGAACGGCACGATTTGATGTGCTTGGTGTTCTTCGCCTTTGGGTTTGGATGTTGGGGATAAGAGCTTCTGTATTTCTCTCTGGAATTCTAGATTTCTGAATTTAAAATTTATGTCCCTTCCTCCTTCCTCTAGGTCTCTATTTATAAGATTCTTGGATCCATAGGATGATGACACGCATCCTCTCTGATAAGGAAAATATCATAACTGGGCCGGACCGATTATATTATGATAATTGTCCTTAAAAATAATTATTCCAAATATATTTTATTAGGAATAATTACCTTTATATTTAACCATTTGGGCTGGGCTAATTAAATAATTTAAGTGGACCAAACTTGGGCCAATTAAATAACTTAATTAAACATTAGACTCATATTTAATGGGTCAATTTGTCAAAATCAAAGCCCACTAAAATTTTAGTGTCTACAAATTGTCCCCACTTCGAGTCCCAAGTTTG